AGATTGCGGCAGTGCCCGCACCACGGAGCGTAAAAGGCCACCAGCCAGAGGCCCTCCCCCTCCATCACGCGAGACTCGAAGTCAGAGTCGCCAAGCTCCTCCACCGCCGAGCCCGCGCCCCAGCCGGAGTGGCCGCCGCCGCCGCCGCCCGACGACGACGCCCGCTTGGGCTTGGGCTTGGACTTGTCGCCTCCGCTGCCGCCACTGCTGCCGCCGCCGCCACCGCCGCTCTTGGCCATCTTTCTCAGCCCCGAGATTAGCGACGACTCGTCCCTTGCGCCCTGGTATGTCTCGGGCTTGCGCTTGTTCGAGCCAAAGATCTGGATCGACGGGTACCCTTTCACGCCGTACTTTCGTGCGAGCGCGCCCTCGGTGGTCGCGTCCACCACGACGAGCTTGATGGTCCCTGGAGAGAGCGCCTTCGTCGCCTTCTTCCACGCGGGCTTGAGCGCTTTGCAATGACCACACCACGGGGCGTAAAACTGGACGGCGACCGGGCCATCGTGCTTGAGGACTTCCTCGTCAAAGCTGCTGGCAGTGGCGACGACGACGCCTTCCTTTCGGGCGGCTGGGCCGTAGATGGCGGCGACGAGCGGTAGGAAGGCGAGCATTCTGGCGCTGCTCGCGCGTTGTCGCAGCATGGTTCGCAGGAGATAGCCGCTAGGAGAGGGCTGTTGACTGGCCGCAGCGCGACCCGGCGCAGCGCGCACACGCAGTGCTTCAGCAGGCGCGCTAATCGATCGATAGCGACACGTCAACCAGGCTTAAATCTTTTTTTTGGCTTCCAACTTTTGCGGGGTATGGCATGGTAATTTCACGGCCCAAAGGGTGGGGAGGTATGGTCCTGACCGCCCATCCCCGGTCTCCGGGAGGCTGGGTCTGTCAGCAGGCGGGGGGGATGGTCTCGAGGTGGGTGAGTACCATACCATACCCCGCAAAAAGTCCGAACCCGGCGAAAGAGAGAAGGTAGTGAACCCATTATTTTTTGCGGGATCTACATCGTAAGTCCGAGAAAAAAGAATTCGTCAGGCGCGCATGCGGATCCCGCCACAGTGGCCGGGTTGTTCGCCTGCATGACTCCCGCCTGCTCTCTCATCCAACCGCAGTGCGAGACGGCAGACTACTCGCTCGTCATCGTCGGCGCTGGCCTCATCGGCAGCGCAGCTGCCCGCCACGCGGCTCTCGGCGCGGCGCCGGGCTCGCGGATCGCCCTCGTCGGACCGAGCGAGCCGCAGGGACGCCAGCCTGGCGAGTGGGGAGTGTTCGGCGCGCACCACGACGAGGGCCGCATCACCCGCTGCACCGACCCGGACCCAACTTGGGCGCTCCTGGCTCAGCGCTCCATCGACCGGTACGCCGAGATCGAGGAGCAGAGCGGCGTGCAGTTCTTCTCCGAGGTCGGCCATCTCGCCGTCGGCCCGGCCGGCGCGCCGTCGCTCGTTGCCCGCGCCGCCAACGCAGCGGCGCAGGGCGTGCCTCACGAGCTTCTCGACGCCGCCGCGCTGCGCGAGCGCTACCCGTACCTCTCCTTCCCGGCCGGCGCGGCGGGCGTCTGGGAGCCGCGGCGCAGCGGCCACATCTCGGCGCGCAGGCTGGTTGCGGCGCAGATTTCCGCGGCGCAGCGCTGCGTTCGGCCGGGCGTCGCCTTTGAGCGTGTCGACGAGTCAGCTGTGGCGGTGGAGGAGGCGGCGGCGAAGGCCGCCGCGGGGACGGATCAGGCGACGGGCGAGGCGGAGGGCGAGGCGCCGGCGCCCTCGTACCGCGTCCTCCTGCGCGACGGCCGCGAGCTGCGCGCGGCCCGCGTGCTGCTCTGCTGCGGCGCCTTCACCAACGGTCCGAGCAGGCTGGTCCCGGCGCCGCTGCGCCTGAGCAACTTCACCACGCAGACAGTGCACTTCTCGCTCGGCGACAGCGACGCAGCCCGCCTCGAGGGGATGCCGAGCGTGATTGCAAAGTTCCCCACCTGGTGGGCCTACCTCCTGCCGCCGATCCGGTACCCAGACGGACGGACCGTCCTCAAGCTCGGCGGCGCGAGGGTGGAGGATGCGTCCGCCCCCGCCGCACGCCTGGACGCGGCGGACCGCACGCCTGGGCGGGGCGGCACGCGCCCGCTGCCGGAACCGAGCGACCTGCTGACGTGGTACCGTTCGGGCGGCGACGCGGCGGCCAGGTGTGAGATGGAGGGGATGCTGCATGAGCTGGTGCCGGGGCTGCAACCGCTCGAGGTTCGCTCCGACGCATGCGCGAACTGCCGCACCGAGACGGGCCTGCCCCTCGTCGGAAAGGTGCGTGGCCAGCTATACGCGGCCGCGGGCGGCAACGGGCTCGCCGCAAAGTCGTCCGACGAGATTGGGCGGCTGGCGGCACTTGCGGCGCTCGGATCGCTCTGCTGCGGCGAAGGCGGTCTACAGCGGTGGCAGGAGCCGGATTATGAGAGTGAACTGCTCGCGAGGGAGCGGTTCGCGCCGTGTTGAGAGATGTGTTCTCGTTTGCGAGCTTGTTTGTCTTGTTTGTCCGCTAGTTTCGCTTCTTGTACGTACTTTTAGCTTACTGGGAGAAAAGAGAGAGGTCTTGTTCTTGTAAAAGCAAACGGTGTGGAGATGCTGAGTTGACGGAAATCGGAGGACGCGACCCACTTCGCCACAGACGGTCCCGCGCCTCGCCGCTAAGACAGTGGCACGCGCCGCGCCGCGGCGCGTGCCACTGTCTTTGTCCGGAGTGAAAAGTCCAACGCGCTCGTCGGTGACGGTGTCCTCCAACCTGCGCCGCGCTCGGGCCCTCGGCGAACCTCGACAGCGCTTTCGGTGGCATGCAGCTCTTTGCGACAGAAGCCTGGAGAGCAGCTCCTCTGCTGCTCACACACTCTGCACAGATGGCACAGCCTACCGTGTGCGGCTGCCACAGCTGTCACAGCGATGGGCTCGCCCTCACTGGCCCTCAGTCACTTGTGCTGCGGCTTGTGTGAGCGACACTGCTCGGCGACTGCCGGCACACTGTGCGACCATGGGTGTGAGGTAAAACCACGCTACCAGCGCTTGGTCACATCAGCCCTGAGGTCATATCCTTCTCCTCTGTTGATGGTAACACTTGTCTACTCGCTGGAGCCGAGCAGGAGGGCTTGGCGCACAACCCCTGTTCAACTCACCCTCCACACCCCGTAGCTCCCCGGCCCTGGATGTGAGACTGAGAGGTGAGGTGTTTACTAACTGCACTCCAAGTGCTCCAAGTGCCCAGCCCACCGGACTTACAACTCTAGTAGACCGGAGCGGGAGGGCATGGCCTACTCGGGGAATGCTACATGGTGTGGTGACCGGTCAACTCTCCCAGCGTCGTCGCATGGCAAAGGCCATGGGCCACCGAGTCGACGACGAGGACAGGGTGCGCGCGGGCGGCCTCAGCAGCGGCTCGGTTTGGCGTGAAGAGCTTTGCCCAGTCGCGCGGAGAGCCTCTCTGCGCCTGCCCAAAGTACGCGGCCTTCAACCTCTGGTGGAGCCCACTCGAATGGACAATGAAGGGGCGCGAGGGCTGGCCAGAGTAGTTGTACCAGAGCGCTGTGGTCTCGCCGTCCACTCGACGCACGTACCGGAGCGGGTTGTGGGCCCCATCGTGGCAGAGCGTGAAATTGCGGAAGTGGCGTTGGCGAGGGCCTTTGCAAGGGAACAGCGAGAGGAAGTGACGTGAGTCGCCGTCCACTTCCACCCGGAAACTGCGCGAAGAGCTCGATCCCGCCTGGCTGTAATACATCCTATTCGCGGCGGATTGATCCTCGTTGTGCTCGATGCCCTCGCCCCTGGCTGCATAGTTGTGCATAACTGACAGTGCCTCCAACAGCGCCTCGGGCTGCCCAATGTACACGCCTGAATTTGGATAGCACGCGCGCGAGCTCCTTCGGCAGGCCTGGAAGGCCTCGTTTTGCGCGTTTTGCTTGGCGAAGCATCTCGGGAAGGAGCCGCACTCGCCGCTGAGCGTCAGCGTGCGCTTGTCCCGCACCGGTGGCGGCAGATACTGCGGCGAGTTGGCGACCACGGCGTCCGTGCCGTCGGAGAAGGCAATGGGAGTGGCCGGGTTGAGCGCTTGGAGTAGCTGGACGGCCCTCCTCACAGCAGGCAGCTTGTAGCCGACGCCGCCCCATCGCATCCCGAGGCCCTGCACGACCAGTGGAATCTTGTGGTGCGCGGCTGACAGCCCAAGCGCCCACGGACCCAAACCGGCAAGGTCAGTGAGATATGTCATCAAGACAACAGGACCGCTTCCTCGCCAGCTGCCACCACGAAGCTTGGCGACGCAGCCCGCAATCTCTGCCTCCTCGAGCGGCGGCAGTGGCTGATCGGGCCGCCCACGCTGGTCTTTGACGAGTGCTGGGCCAACGTAGGGCAGCGACGGCAACGGAAGGACGACTGAGAGCATGAGAGAAGCGAACGCACCCGAGGACGGCCGTGACGCGTACGTCCCGACTCCAGTTGTAGTTCCCATATGACGCTCCCATCTTGAGCACTTGTGGACCCCTCGACCGTCTCGCCCTCCCTCACTGGTGTGTTCATTGGGGGGGGTCATAACAAACACGGTACAGGATCGAGGTGCACGCTGCAGAAGCAGTGTCGTCCCCCCTCTCCATCAAGCATCATCTCACACTGAGACGTCGGCGGCGATGGCGGTGTGACCGATCGAGCTACAAGAGGAGCTTGTTCAGCAGGATCCAGGCAATCCGACGCACTACCCTCCAACCGGGCCTGAGATCATCCGATAGCTCCCGTCACCTCTCCGGATGATGTGTGGTCGAACCACTCCAGAATGGGTTGTCCCATCATTGTGAGGAATTGTGCAGGAGTGGGGAGAGTTGGGCAATTCGCGTGCAGCGGGCAAGAGGGGGGGGGGGGGGGGGCTCAGCCGCTTGGTGTGAGCGCGAGAGATGGGCCAGAGATAACCTGTCTGTCCGACCGTACGCTGTCACGGAGAGTCCGTCACGCCCTGGGAGGAGACGGGTCGACCCCGTGAGGACCAGATCACGTTCACCTTGTCGTAGCCCGAGAGGGTGTCGACCTTAGCCACTCGGTGCCGCCTCCGCCCACCGCGTTTGTACTTTATGTAGCTGGCCAGCTCTAACCAAGCATACAGAGAGTTGCTCCACCCCCCTCCTGCATCAGACGCCCCCCCTCCCCCCCCCCCCCCCCCAAGCCAAGGACTTCCCTCACCGCAATCGACCCGCGTGCTTATCCTGCCGCGACTTCCTTGCCCTCCTCGGCTTCCTCGCGGACCCCGCCGATCCGCCTCCCCCGACCGCCCATCTGCACCCCTCCCCCTCTCCCGATCCCCCATCTCCCCAAACACGCCCCCCTCTTCCCCACCCTCAACCCCCACCGCCTCCTCCACACTCGGGTCCCTCCCCCTCTTCCTCCCCCGCTCCCCTACCCCGCCCCCCCCCCTCCTCGTCCATCCCGCCCCCCCCATCGCCTCCCCCCTCCCCGTCCCGCGCCCCAAACCCGGGCGCCTCCACCTCTCCGCACCCCGCGCATAGCACCCCCCCATTCGCGGAGAGCACCCCGTCCTCTTCATGCAGCCCCGGGCTGTCTAGATACCGAGTGCCAAAACACGTCATGCACTCATCTCTTCTTTTAATGTTAATCTTTTTGTTTTTTTTCTTGATTCTGAGAAAATATGACTCTCGACCACCCCCGCCCTCACTCTCCATCCGACCCCTTGTTCGTCCGGGCCAGTCTCTTGAGCGCCGCTGCCGCTGCCCGCAGCCTCACGAACGCAGAGGCGAGGGCGAGGCCGACAGCCTGCGGCGCGTGCGGCGAGTAGGCCTCCTTCTCGTCCGCGTCGGCCTGCTGCGACAGCACCACGCCGCCGCAGAGCGTCGAGAGGATGACGGTGAGCGAGAGGGCGGAGCTCACATCGACGCCCGCCACCTCGAGGCCGAGCTTGAGCCCGACGAACCCGAGCACGAGGGCGACCGCCTTCTCGAGGTAGACGAGGTCCGAGACGGCGACAGAGAGCAGCTGGTAGAGCGAGCGCAGCCCCACGACGGCGGCGATGTTCGACGAGTACACCACAAAAGGGTCGTCGCTTACCGCGAGCACGGCAGGGATCGAGTCGACGGCAAAGATCACCTGCCACGGCGACGTGAGCGGCGGGTGAGGCGCGGCGTGCACGCGTGCGCGGGCGCCTGCCCCTCCCCTCCTAGCTCACGTCACACAGCGCGATCGAGACGAGGGTGGCCGTCAGCTGCGTGAAGAGGACCCCCGCCCCCGCCTCGTTCGGCACCGTGAGCCTGTCGCCCTCGAAGGTGCCCGTGAGCGGCAAGCGCTCGAGCAACTCGATGACGACGCCAGGCAGCTCGGCGTCGTCGTCGTCGTCGTCCGCGCCCGAGAGCAGCTGGTACGACGAGAAGAGCAGGAAGGCCGAGAAGCCCAGTAGCAGCGGCGCAAAGGCGCTCGTCGCCGCGAGGCCGGCAAAGATGAAGACGCCACGCAGCAGGATGGAGCCGGCAATGCCGTAGTTGAGGCACTTATCGACCGAGCCGGGCGGCACCTTGAAGTAGCGAAAGATGAGCAGGAAGACGAAGAGGTTGTCGACAGAGAGCGAGTCCTCCACCACATAGGCCGTCAAGAAGTCAAACGCTGCCGCGCCGCCCTTGGCAAGCCAGACGCCGCCGTCAAAGGCGAGCGTCGCCGCGAGGAGGAGCCCAAAAGTCCGGAGGCTGTCGTCGTACATCCGCGTGATTGCACCCGAGGACCGAAGGGCGTCCTTCAGCTCGCTTGCGTCTATCGTGCGACTGTCGTCCCGGTCAATCATGGCAAAGATGGCCTGCCGGTCGGGCTGGGAGCACTTTTGCACCTCGAGCTGGTCGACGAGTTCGCTAAAGCCCTCAAAGTCCAAAGCCTTTGAGGTGCTGCCACTCTCCTCGAGCATCTCCTCAACCTTGCTAAACTGGCCGAGGAGCGCCACGCAAATCGTGCAAACCCGGTCATCGTCGAGCGTCACAAGTGGCGCCGTGCCGGTTCGCATCAGCAAGCGCCTGCTGTCGGCACGCATCGGCATTTGTGTTGCTGGTACTGACAGCATGATTGGCGGGCGAAGCAGCTGGTGCGAGATTGCACCAGCGCCGTTAAGCAACGTCACGAACATCGCCATCGTCGCCCGCAACGCCATCGGCGTAGGTGCGCTTGTGTCTCTGGCTGAAGGTAGCGCGCGTTCGGGCAGTCCTCACTCACCTTTAGCGAGAGGATCAGCACCAAGGCAGCTTCTTCGACTCTGCGCCAAAAAATGAAAAAAACACGCATGTCTGGCACGTTTAAAGGAACAAGACATCTGCTGATAATTTCGGGGGCGCCATACGTGGACCGTCGTCTACACTGTTGCGGGCATTAAGAAAACGTGGCTTTAAGAAACCCTACCAAGCGATTTCCGCGAAAATCTAAGAAACCAGGTGGCGGCCAGGTCCCAAGAAAGAGCCCACACACGAGTGTGAACAGGAGCCCCGCTCAAATTTTCTATTCGCCTGCGGCGCGCGCACTTGGCATTTTGCCCAAGTCTGCGGTGTCGTTCTGGGCGGTGTGTGGATGGAGGTGTGTGCGTCTTCCTGTCACATGCCCCTCCGCAGCCCACGCCGCCGCCGCCCTCCACCTCGCCGTCGCCGCCGCCTTCCACGCCGCCGCCACCTGCCCCTCCGCCGCCCACGCCGCCGCCGCCCTCCACCCCGCCGTCGCCACGACCCTCTCCGCCTTTCCCAGCGCAGCCTCCACCTACGTCGCCCCCGCCTATGCCAGCCCTACCCACGTCACCCCCACCGGCTACTCCGCCCGCACCACCTCCCACCCCACCGTTTTCACCACCCCCGAGCACGCCGGGCGGACGCCTCAATACACCTGTGCAGTGCGGCGAGTGCGCTGCTTTTTGTGAGAGCAAGACACAGACGTGGACAGCCCGTTGCTCCTGGGGCGGCTGCAACGGCTGCACGCCTTGTTGCCCTGGCCATGTTGTCGACCCTCCGCCGCCCACGCCGCCGCCGCCCTCCACCTCGCCGTCGCCGCCGCCTTCCACGCCGCCGCCACCTGCCCCTCCGCCGCCCACGCCGGCGCCGCCCTCCACCCCGCCGTCGCCACGACCGTCTCCGCTTTTCCAAGCGAGCCTCCAACTACGTTGCCCCGCCCTATGCAGCCCTGCCCAGGTCACCCCCACCGGCTGCTCGGCCCGCACCACCTCCCAACCCGCCGCCCCCCTCGTCGCCGCCCTTGTCGCTGCCGTCGCCCTCACTTCCGCCGTCACCGTGGTCGCCGCATCGCTCGCCTCCTCCGCCGAGCACGCCTCCGCCGAGTCAAACCGCCGCCCTCGCCCTCGCCGCCAAACCCGCCACCGCCCAGCCCGCCGCCCTCGCCGCCACCGCAGAGTCCGCCGTTTTCGCCGCCGCCGCCTAGCCCGCCGCCCTCGCGATCGCCGCCCAGCTTGCCGCCGCCCAGCTTGCCGCCGCCCAGCTTGCCGCCGCCCAGCTTGCCGCCGCCCAGCTTGCCGCCGCCCAGCTTGCCGCCGCCCAGCTTGCCGCCGCCGTCGCCGCCGCCGCCCAGCCCGAGGCCCTCGCCCCCTCCGCCGTCGTCACCATCTCCCTCGACGCAAACCTCGCCGCCGACAGAGCCGACTCCCCTGTCGCCGCCGCCGCCGCCGTTCTCGCCACCATCCCAGACGGGAACGCGCTGCAACACCCCCATCTCCACCAATACTCTGGACTACTGCGCGGACCTGCCCCCAAGGTGGCTAGGTATTGCCCCCGGTGGGGCGCCCGCGTGCAAGAGCACGTGCGAGGAAGACGCCGGCTGTAACTTCTTCATTTCGTGGCCAGGGGACGACTGGTGCCGGCTTACGACAACGTGCGACAAGGTTTGGCAATCAACGACTGGCGAGGTCGTCGCGATGGCATGCGGACCGGCGGCGCCGCAAGCGCCGCCCTCACCTGCCCCTTTGGTGCCACCTCCGCTCTCCTCGCCACCTCCGTCGTCGCCACCTCAGCATCGCAATATTTTCTGGATAATTGCCGACGACCTGCGACCAGAGTTGGGGTCGTACGGGGCGGAGCACATACGTTCTCCTAATATCGATGCATTGGCGACGGACAGCGCCGTCTTTGAGCGAGCTTACTGCCAAGTGCCCACCTGTGGCGCCTCGCGCGCGAGCATGCTGACCGGGCTGTACGCAACTCCAACCCGCTTCATCAACTTCAACACCCGCGCGGACTTTGACGTGCCAGACGTGCCAGACTTGGCAAAGACGCTCCGGACTGCAGGTTACACGGCCATCTCCAACGGCAAGGTATACCATCACAGCGACGACAATGCGCAGTCATGGAGTGAGATTTGCGGCCACGATGCGGGCTCAATAGCAGGACAGGCGTGCAACTACTCCACCGCGATGTGCTGCATCTCTCCGCAAAGCTTAGCTAGGACTGCGCCGTCTCTTCCAGAGGTGCGAAACCACACGATTCGAAACCCGTTTGCAAGGTCGACTGTTCCAGAGTGGGCCCATCGCGAGTTCGAGAACGAGGAGGTGGGTGGGTTGCCGCTGCAGGAGTGGCTACGGGCTCAGCTCGCCCGGTGGCAGGCGCATGGTGGTCAGGGTGGGTGTTGGGGCTGCGACGAGCCGGCCTGGGGGGGGACTGACGTGACTGATGACGGCACAAGCCCAGCGACCCGCGGCTACCCTGACGGCAAGCTCACAGTCAAGGTCATCGATGACCTGCGGAGAGCGAAGGCCGCGAACACGCCATTCTTCATCACGTGCGGCTTCATCCGGCCGCACCTCCCCTTCGTCGCGCCGCTGAGGGACTGGGACGCGTACAGTCGCGACGCCATCGAGCTCGCAGACAACGCAGCGCTTGCCGTCGGAGCGCCTCCTCGGGCGCTACACTACCGAGAGCTGGGTGTGTACGACATCGGAACGACGCCTCCATCAGCCTTCTCGATAGGGCAGCTCATGCCAGAGTACGGCCTCGGGAACCCCCTCCCGGATAACATTTCGCGCTCGTTGGTGCACGGCTACTACGCGAGCGTCACCTACGTGGACCGGCTTGTGGGCCGGCTAGTGGACGAACTCAAGTCACTCGGTATGTACGAGGAGACGATCGTCGTCTTCAATAGTGACCACGGCTACCAGCTGGGTGAACACGGCACCTGGTGCAAGCACTCCCTCTTTGAGACCTCGCTGCACGTGCCGCTTATCATCAAGGCGCCCGGATTCAGCCCCTCACGCGTGCCGGCGCTAGTAGAGAACATCGATATCTACCCCACGCTGCTCGACTTGGTCGGGATCGCGGCTCCACCGCACTTGCAGGGCAAAAGCCTCGTCCCGCTTCTGCAGAACCCCGTCGCACCCTTCAAGGACGCGGTGTTTTCTCGCTACCGAGACGGCGACTCGGTGCGTTTCGCAGACTACGCCTATAGCGAGTACTGCATGCGGAGCTGCTGGTCGCCCGAGACTTGCTCAAGCTCCTGCGCGACGCCTCACCTGACCGACCGCATGCTCTACGATCACACCGTCGACCCTGACGAGACCCTCAACCGGTGGAACCGGTCACAGTACGTCCAAGCCACCGCCGACATGCAGCGAGCCCTCTTTCGGCATCGGGTTGAGAGGGAGGCAATAGCTTAGGCCTTCGACATATGTACACTTAGGCCTTCGACATATGTACACTAGTGGGCTGCACTTGTGATCGGGGGAGAGCCCGATCAGCTGATAGAGTTAAATTGATTTGTCTAGATATGTACGAATATCGAAGTCGCCGAGAGGTTTGTGAGAGTTGTGGGGTGGGAGAGTGGGCGTTTGGCTCGAGGTGTGTGGGTTTTCCGCCAGTGCCAGAGCCAGAGAGACCGCCGTCCACACCTCCACACTGACCCGCAACGACACTCACACAAACACGCCCAATTCCCCACTTGTCTTGCGCGCTTGCCTTGTGTACACCTTGGGCGCCGCACCAAAACAAAATCAGGCACGTCCCAATGGCGTGGCGCCCGTGTCCCCCTCCCCAAGCCCCCAAGCTTCCCTCTACACGATCCGCCGCTGCTGCAGGGCGCTCGCGAGCAGGTTGGCGGCTGGTGTGGACGGCTGGTAGCGAGGCGTCTCGCCCTCGGCGAGGATGGGCTCGATGGCCGCTGCGAGGTTGGTCTCGTAAAAGAATGGGAGGGATAGGCGCTCCCGGGCGGACTCCATCACCACCGCGTGCAGCGTGGCTGGGAACCGGCCGTTGGACCAACGCTCGAGCTCGGTGCCAAGGTTGACAATCGCGGCGTCCTCCCGCGGGGTCACTGGGATCCACACGCGATCGGCCGGCGGCGGCGCCTACGGCGAGAGTCCCGCGGCTACGAGGCTAAGGCTAACTACCTCCTCGCCGGTTACTGCCTCGGGCAACGCCACCTTGTCCGGGCAGATGTGCAGGCCGGGCTCGCCGTCGGTGAAAAGGAGCGTGAAGATGCCGCCATCAGCGTGCGGCCGGATGGCAAATTTGCCCAGGGCGGGCTCGGATCGGCGCGGCAGATACCGGACCATCCCGGTCTGATAGGTGGGCAAGTCAAAGAGGCCGGGCGCGTCAAAGTGGCCGGGGGGAAGGCCGAGCGCCTGGGCGATGAGGCGGCGCAGCCGGACGGCCAGCGCCTCCTGCTCCGCCTGGTGAGCGAGGACGGTGTCCCGGAAGCCAGGGAGCACGCGCTCGGCAGGCCACGCATTGGCGTAGGGCGCCGGCTCGCCAGGCGCGAGCGGCTCGCGGCCCACGTTGAAGCTCTCGCGGCTGTCCATTGCGAAGTGGACGTCTCCGCCGACGGCGCGGTAGCCGTTGCCCGTCCCCGGAACGGTCACGAGCGCGCCGCTCTGGTCGCGCACCTAGAGGAGAGGACCAAAGTGGGTATAGTTGGCGAGGAAGCAGTTGCAGCAGGGTGCGGCGGGTGCCCGGTAGGCGGTCTCCGGCCCGTTCTTCAGCGCCTCCTTGGTGGCGGGCGGGAGCGCGAAGAAGTCGCGCGCCGCGGCGAGCGCCGCATCCTTGGCGGCGAGGGTGCTCTCAGGCAAGCCGACCAGGAAGAAGAAGCCCGGGTAGCTGCAGGCCGCCCGCAGCTGCGCCACGACCTCCTCCTCCGGCAGCCCGAGGTCCACGACCGGGATCGTCTCGTGCCGGCGGAGCGAGACGTTGAGCGTGTCCCCGGAG